GAGAGCAAAACTCTGTGGCTGACACCCTTACTCACATAGCCTCTACAATAAAAAACAAAGTGAATTCCATCCTCTTTAGATTTCTATCACCCCCTAGCATTGACACACTAGATCAGACGATGATGATAGTTAAGCAAGCAAACTTATGGATGGATCCCATCATCAGTTACCTAAAAGGTTGGACCTAGCCTGAAAATAGATCGAAAGCCAAGACTCTTCGTGGCAAGTCAGTTCGCTACACCCTGGTCAACGATAAGTTATACAAATAAGGATACAACACCCTCTATTGCGTTGTGCAAATAAAAGTAAGGCAGACTATGTTTTTAGGGAAATCCAAGAGGGCATATGTGAAAACCACGCTGAGGGCTAATCGTTGGCTTACAAAGTCCTTAGGCAGGGGTATTATTGGCCGACTCTCTATAAAGACATTGCAAGCTTCACGTGCAATGTGACAAGTGCCAACGACTTGCTACTATACCACGGGCCCCTTTACAGGAACTCATCACCCTATTAAGCCCATGACCTTTCCCCATGTGAGGAATCGACCTAATTCGGCCTTTGCCCCAAGGGAAAGGCGAAGTCAAATACGCGGTGGTCATTGTCGATTACTTCACCAAATGGGTGAAGGTCGAACCCCTATTAATGATTACAATTGGTAAGATAAAAAGTTTTGTATATAAGAATATCACCTGTCTCTTTGGCATGCCACACCCAATTATTACGGATAATAGGAAGCAATTCGACAATGAAGAGTTCAAGGCTTTTCTCAATGAGCTCGGCATAAAAAAAAGTTTCTCGGCGCTCTACCAACCCCAATTTAATGGACAAGTTGAGGCTATGAATAAAGTCATAAAGCACACTCTAAAAGAAAAGCTCAACAAATCCAAAGAAAATTGGGTAGACAAGCTCCTTGAAGTTTTATGGGCATACTGAACAATCGTGAGGACTGCCACAAGCGAAAGCCATTTCTCCCTTGCATATGGCTATGAAGCCATGGACTTGGTGAAGTTCGGACTCGACATGTTCTGATCTCGTCCCAAGTTCAGCATTAATCTTAATATATATATATTTTTTTTGGCTTAAGGAGAAACAAGAACCCAAAAATTAGATTAATTGCTCTTCACATTGGTGTTAGCAATAAGATGGTCTAATTATTGGTTTATAACTTTTCAAATTCATTGGTCCGTTTTTGGTTTTCATTATGTTAGCATGTTAGTATGTTATCTTATTATTTCATTCTTATCTACTTGTAATGTAGCTTTAGTGCTTGTGTGTGGTTTTTTAAACGTGGAACTAAGATATTGATCTACTATGTTTATGACTTTGATGCATTTTTGAGATGTATAAAGCAATGTATTTATCAATTTATAAAGTGATATTAGAATTTAACTCTCATATAAAGTGTTGATGCAGTTTTTTGCATCAACAAGATATACACAAGCCTTCGGAAAGTTTGCACAAAATGTCTATGAAAGACCGTGAAATAGCAAGTATGATACTTAACCAATGGGTTCAGTGAGGTTTATGTGTGGGCAAATGAAATATAAAACAGTAAATGCGGAAAAGAAAATGGAAAATTGACAAGAAAAATTTTTAAAGTGGTTCGAAAGCAATAAACAATTCCTACGTCCACTGTTAATTTATTGATGTGATTACAACAAGAACTTGCTTTTAGAGACTAGCATTGTAGTGCCTTTACAGTAAAAAGATGCTGATATATTTTGTTTGGTGTGAGAACCCCCTATTTATAGTGTTTCGAATGTAATCTTGGGTGTGTAGTAACTCACATGCAATAGGGCATGTGGCATTGAACTGTTGACTTGGTAAATGAAGTAACCCTTATGCAAGCTGACACATTGAAAGAGCATCAATTTGCATCCTTATTGGCGAAGCTTTCTCTATACAGGTGAGCACCTCTCTTTGGTGAGGTGGTTTTCTTCTTCCCTTCGAAGTTTCTTCTTCTGGATGATGGCCAACTTTGGAGGACACATGTGAAATATAAAACAATAAATGCGGAAAAGAAAATGGAAAATAGACAATAATGAATTTTAAAGTGGTTTGGAAGCAATAAACAATTCTTATGTCCATTGTTATTTTATTGATGTGATTACAAGAAGAACTTGCTTTTAGAGACTAGCATTGTAGTGCCCTTGTAGTAAAAAGATGTTGATACAATTTGTTTGGGGTGAGAACCGCCTATTTATAGTGTTCCAGAGGTAATCTTGAGTGTGTAGTAACTCACATGCAACAGGGCATGTGGCATCCCATTATTGACTTGGTAAATGAAGTAACCCTTATGCAAGCTAACATATTGAAAGAGCATCAACTTGCATCCTTATTGGTGAAGCTTTCTCCATGCAGGTGGGCACCTCTCTTTGGGGAGGTGGTTTGCTTCCTTCTCTTCGAAGTTTCTTCTTCTAGATGATGGCCTATTTTGGAGGACACATGTCGAGCTCTGACTTTGCATGTTTTTATAGCCCAAGATAAAACAATGTATTTGTCAATTTATAAAGGGAGAAAAAAAAAAAAAAAAAACCAATGTGATGAGAGGTTTTCTTCCTCTCTTTTGTGATAGTTGGTTGATTTACTATATCACTAGCTGAAAGTCTTGCGCGTTGCACAGGTTGCTTATGATATTTGTTTTGACACCATGTTTGTTTGAATAATTGGATGTTTCAATTGGCTGATATCTACTATTGAGGTACATAAATTGTATAGGTCTGTCAAATTAAAAGTTTTAATTATGTATAGTTTTACATTATATTTTATTTTGTGGTGTTGTTTTTTAGCATCAAAATGTCTAACATTTTAAAATTATGTCGTTTCATACAGTGTTTTAAATAACTTATCATTTCTTTTAAGTGTGGTTCGACCACAATTAGAAGGGTTTACGGTTATTAGAATTTGTCATATAAAATTAAAGCCCTATCTGGCTAGTTTCCAAAGATTCAAACCACTCATCAATTGTATTTTTAATGAGCAAGTTATGACCAATTTACTACTTACTATTCATTGGAAACTAAAAAACAGGGGAAACTGAAATGTGTGTGATGATAAAATGAATGGTTCAGCAACGAGTCTATAGTTGTCCAAATTCAGTGTATAATATATAAAATTAAAGATCTATCTGCCTAGTTTTCAAATATTCAAACCTCTTAACAATTGGATTTTTATTGAGCAAGTTATGACCCATTTATTACTGACTGGTTAGTGGAAATTAAGTAACAGGAGAAACTAAAATGTGTGTGATGATAAAATGAATGGTTCGACATGGGGTCTACAATTATCCAAATTTGTTTTATAATATATAAATTTAAAGCCCTGTCTACTAGTTTCAAAAGATTCAAACCACTCATCAATTGAATTTTTATTGAGCAAGTTATGGCCCATTTACTACTAACTATTAAGTGGAAACCAAGAAACAGGAGAAACTGAAATGTGTGTGATGATAAAATGAATGGTTAGGAAATAGGTATGCAGTTATCCAAATTCAACATATAATATATCAAATTAAAGCATTGTCTGTATAATTTCCAAAGTTTCAAACCGCTCATCAATTGGAGTTTTATTGAGCAAGTTATAACCAATTTACTACTGACTGTTTAATGGAAACTGAGAAATAAGGGAAACCGAAATGTGTGTGATGATAAAATGAATGGTTAGGAAATGGGTCTAAAATTATCCAAATTCAGCATATAATATATCAAATCAAAACATTGTCTGTCTAGTTTCCAAAGATTAAACCATTCATCAATTGGAGTTTTATTGAGCAAGTTATGGCTAATTTAATACTGACTGTTCAGTGGAAACCGAGAAACCGAGAAAACAGAAATGTGTATGATGATAAATGGAAGGTTAGGAAATGGGTCTATAGTTATCCAAATTTAGCATATAATAAATCAAATTGAAGCCTTGTCTGTCTAGTTTTTAAAGATTCAAACCACTCATCAACTGGAGTTTTATTGAACAAGTTATGGCTAATTTACTATTGATTGTTCAGTGGAAATTGAGAAACAGGGAGAACTAAAATGTATGTGATGATAAAATGAATGGTTCAGTAATGGGTTTACAATTATCCAAATTTAGTATATAATATATCAAATTAAAGCTTTGTCTGTCTAGTTTTCAAAGATTCAAACAACTTGTCAATTGAATCTTTATTGAGCAAGTTATGGTCAGTTTACTATTGACTATTCAATGGAAACTGAGAAACAGGGGAAACCAAAATGTGTGTGATGATAAATTTAATGGTTCAGTAGTGGATCTACAGTTATCCAAATTCAACATATAATATATCAAATTAAAGTCCTGTCTACGTAGTTTCCAAAGATTCAAACTGTTTGTCAACACGATTTTTATTGAGCAAGTTATGACCAATTTACTATTGACTGTTACAATACTATATTACAATGAATAGTCTTTCAGCATCTGGTCTCTTATAATTCTATAGTACAATCTAAATAGATTTGCACCTTTCCTCTTACAATTAAGCAATATGGTCCGGCTAGTGGCTACAATTCTATAGTACAATTATAAACAACTTGGTGATCAAAATGGTTTGGCACAGGCATCAGAAAACAACACCAAAACCATTAATCCACATAATTGGACCCATAGATTTTTTAAGTACAGTGGTNATTATCTAGATAAAGTTAAGACTAATTAATATTTCAGTACTTGTTTACGCAATCCCTTGGGTACGATAACCTGTATTTTGTTATACTATATTACTTGAGACTAGTACACTTGCTAGTAGTTGTTGCAAACGACACAACAAGTTTTTGGCGCCATTGCAGGGGATTGCAGTTAGGCAATATTGAAATCATTAGTTTAGCTTTACTTTAGATCTTGTTCCATTTATATATATATTTTTGCAAGTTCTCTTGTTTTTAGATCTTCTAGTGTATGAGACACTAGACGAAGATTAGAGATTCTTAAACCTTTTTTATCCAGAAATTGAGAGAACAATACGGGCATTGAGAAGAAGGCAAACAAGGAATATGACAGACAACAATAATAATCAAGAGGATCCTTTACTTTTGGAGAATCTCGAAGAAGATGCAGCCCCATATTCTTTAATGGATTATGCAATGCCGTCATTGAAGGGCACTGTTTCTAGCATTAGGAGGCCAGCCATTACAACAAATAACTTTGAAATTAAATCTACGATTATTCAGATGATTCAGTCAGCCTACCAATTCTGTGGTTTAGCCCACGAGGATCCAAATGCTCACATTGGAAATTTCTTGGAGATATGTGATACATTCAAGCAAAATGGTGTCACAGACGATGCAATTAGATTGAGACTGTTCCCTTTTTCATTAAGAGATAAAGCCAAGAATTGGCTAAATTCTTTGCCTGTAGAATTTATTACAGCTTGGGATGCATTGGCTCAGCGCTTTCTTGCTAAATATTTTCCTCCCTCTAAAACTGCAAGGATGCGTAATGATATCACTAATTTTATGCAGGTAGATAGAGAGTTGTTATATGAAGAATGGGAGCGTTATAGAGAGTTGTTGAGGAAATGCCCGCATCATAGATTACCAATTTGGTTACAAGTACAAACTTTTTATAATGGTTTAATTCCTGCTAACCGTTCTATGATTGATGTAGCTTCAGGAGGCACTATAATGAAGAAGACAGCAGAAGCAGCGTATGAATTATTGGATGAGATGGCTTCAAATAGCTACCAATGGCTCTCTGATAAAGTGTCACAAAGGAAGGCAGCAGGATTATATGGAGTGGATGCAATCATAACAATTTCTGCTCAATTGGAAGCGTTGAACAAAAAGATTGATAATATGAGTGCCCCAATCATGCAAGTGAAGAGCATGAGTTGTGATCTATGTGGAGGAGACCATCTTAGCAATGAATGTCAGGTAGGTAACCCTTTTGCTAATTCTACTGAAAGTGCTAATTATGTTGGTAATTTTCACAGGCAACAACAGGATAATCCCTACTCCAGTACTTACAACCCTGGTCGGCAGAATCACCCCAATTTTTCATGGAGCAATCAAAATGCAGTGAAATCACCACCTCCGGGTTTTCCTCAAGAAAAGAAGCCCAATTTGGAGGAACTCGTGACGAAGTTTGTAAGCTCCACTGAAGTAAGATTTCAGAATCAAGAAGCTTTGATCAGAAATTTGGAGACTCAGATGGGGCAATTGGCAAATTTAATATCAGGGACAACTCAAGGAACGTTGCCTAGTGACATAGAGAAGAATCCAAAGGAGCATGTGAAGGTAATTACACTAAGGCGTGGCAAAGAAATTGGGCATAAAGAGCAAGAGAAAGAGGAAGCACTGAAAGTGCAACCATGCAACATTGCTGAAAAGTTGTTTGACCCTAAGAAGATAGTGATTCAACCTCCTTTCCCTCTTGCATTGAAGAAGCAGAAAGTTGATTAGCAATTTGCAAACTTTTTAGATATTTTTAAGAAATTGCATGTTAATATTCCATTTGCAGATGCTCTTCTTCAGATGCTTAGCTATGCAAAGTTCTTGAAAGAAATCCTTTCTAACAAGAGAAAACTGGAAGAGCAAAAACAGTAAAACTCACTGAAGAATGTTCAGCAATTTTGCAAAATAAATTGCCACCAAAATTAAAAGATCCAAGGAGTTTTACAATACCTTGCATTATTGGTTCACTTTCATCTTCCAAAGCTTTATGTGATTTAGGTGCTAGCATTAATGTAATGCCTTTATCTATTTTCAGGAAATTGGGACTTGGAGAACCAAGGGCCACTACAGTATCTCTACAACTGGCTGACAGNAAGTTTAACAATACACTGGCAAAACCAAAAGAAAACAATTACAAATTGTTAGAGTAGGTGCACTAGAGCCAACATTTTGACTCTTGTAAAAATATTCTTTGTATAAATAAAAGGCATTGCTTATATATTATAGCATCTATTTACTGCATGTAAAGAAAATAGTATATGTCCTTAGAAAGGTTGAAACTAGTGACGAGGGAATTAAGTATTATAAATCTTAATTGTGAGAACCCTATGAGCACAAATTGTGACCATTTTAAAACCATCCATAGTCATAGTATAAATCTGACCAAGGACATAGATTATACGGAGAGACTATCATTGCGTTGAATAAGCCTATCGAAAGGTAGTGACAGATCTCACATGTCAAGGTGTGGGCATCAATCTAGTACAATGCATGGGTACTTGCTTGTGCAAGTCCATTGGACTAACCTATTAGTGGATTCCATACAAGATAGTAAACCCAATGTTTATGGAATACATCTTCTTACAAATGGTGGTACATGTGGTCCTTCCACTAGAGATCACCAGAGCGTTGTGTGTAAGTATCAATGTGATTTGACACTAGCCTAACATCGTCTCTTTTAGGGATTACCAAAATGATGGTGATTGGTTACATTGAGAAGTACACTATGGCTATGGTGGATCAACAAATGATTCATCACTCCTGGTTACAAGAGATCTTATCTCGGCAAGATATTTGGCTAAGAACTACGACCTCAAAATTGTGGCCACGGTGGAATCGAGTTGGTACTCAAATCCAGTTTTATATAGTCGTAGATTTGACAGCCAAATATAAACATGTCAAGGTCAATATCTAAAGCATACATTATTTCTTACTTCAAACCTTGATGAGATATAAGATGATGAAATGAATCAAATTGCATGGTAACCATACTGTAGAAAAGGTAAGCCTAAATCATTGATTCTTTATTTACCGGGGAATCATGATGCCTTGCTAGCTAGAGGCCAATCTTGATTGGTTTACGAAAACACTAATTGGTTGATGCTTAATTAGTTATTGGGACACTACTGGCAAAAGGAAGAGCCTTCGGGTTACACACATAGAAAGTAGTTAAGTGAGAATCGGAAATGGAAGGATAATTTTGTCCTTGGGCTGAAAAGGGTATTTCGGTAATTTGGGAGTCTAAGGGCATTTTCATTGTTTTGGCAAAAAGGGCACTTTGGTAATTTTGCTAGGGTTGATGCCATTATCCAATATTTATATTAAAGGAATTTTAGCAAAATTGTATTATTAATATGAAGGAATATATTTAATTTAAATTAAATATATTAAAACCCCTTTATTAAATATGAAAAATATATATGGATTAAATAAATAGTAATATTTATTTAATTAGAATATGAATTTATATAAGACGGATTCATATTTAAGGAGAATATCTTTAAGAGATATTCTAATTCCTTTTATTAAGGATTGAAATCCAATCCATATAGGAATTAAATGATTCACAATCCTAATTGAATTCGGTATTGCACTATATAAAGGGGGTCATTGGGTTTTGATTTAAAAAACAATTGAAACATGATTTTCATAAGTTGCTTTTGCAAAGTTGAGAGCAAAGATAAATCTCTCAAATAAACCTTAGCCGCCAACCTTAGAGAGAGATTTCTGCCACCTCCCTTAAGCACTTGGGTTTATCTAGCAATCAATCCAAGTGTGATCATGACCCTACTTTCATGTGGATACCATCGTGCTCACTTTATTTTGGGACGATTACAAAGTCGCAAAGACATCCAATGAAGGAGCTGCCAACGAGAGGTAAAAACTAAACCTTGTATGGTTTAGTTATATGTACAAGGTTTAGTTATATGTAGGTTAAGAATATCGTATCTTGATCTTGGGTAAAGGGTAATGGCATAGCAAGAAATTTTTTTGTTATTCCGTGCTTGCTACGACATTATTCCCTGCACAAATAACAATTAAAAATTGATTACCTCTCTTTCTTTAGATAAATCATGTAACAAATTGTTAATATATCGACATGTACAGTATATAGGATTCAAAGTAATGAATCATTTACCTAATGTAACGTATCTTTTCACATTCACTAAATTCAATAATATACCTTATCAATAAATTAATATTCACATTTATTCATGCATATTAATTATAATGAATATTATTATTTGTGTACCATTTCACGTTCAGTTAATTATTAATACTAATATACCTGTACCCCTCACATTCAATTCGACAAAAACAATGAATCAACTAAATTCATAAAAAAAAGTGAAACACAATAATAAAAAAATTTGATTATAAAATGTATAATCATAAAACATTTAATATGAATGTGAAGAATTTATCTTGATTAAGGATAAAAATTAATGTGGAATGTGAAATGTTTCTATTTATCTAATTAAACACATCCACAAAACATTGAATGTATATGGTTATATAGATATCTATTATTATAATAGTCTTAGTGGTATTCAACTAGCAAGTGTTTCAGGATTATATCAAAGAAAATGCTATTCTTACAAAGACTCATACAAAGAGGGCTACAAAGTGATATCATCCAGAAGAAAAAAATAAAGAAAAAACGAAAAAGAAAGAAGAGAAGAGAGAGAGAGATCATGAAATCAAGGGTGGGAATTGTCTTTGTATGCCCCTTTTGTATGTGTCTTGTAAAACTAGCATTGCTCTATATCAAAATATAGATATGTTTTAAAATTTTTCTACGAAGAATAATAAAGAAAATACAGAAGGTAAACTAAATGAAACAATTGCAAATGTAAACACCTTTTAAAGCCGTAACAATCCTTTAGAAAAGATAGGATGAAAGAACAGAAACGGCAATACATTTTTTGAATTACATCCTTATGCTTACAAATTACTCATCAACCCAAAACATATCTAAGTTCTAAGTTCTGATGTGGTAATTTTTTGAAAGGTTTTCCCAGTGGCTTCTCACAAGGAATTCTTTAGACACACATTGCCTTGTAGGCCGAGATTTTGGATTCAACGCAAGATGCAAACGCTATTGCAAAAACAAGCACAATATCTGCACAACTTTTCCATCAATGGAGGTGGGAGACGTGGGTCTAAAACATCTATCAGCATTATATTGCATTGATGGAGATGTAATGATGAAAGAAGATCTCCGGATGCATTCCCATTAAACTTCTAGTGCTACAACCCCATAACTATAAACATCACATTTTTTCGTCACATCATGGTATAAGCAAGTTCTGCAAGAAAAAAATAGCTTTAATTAGATGACTAAGAGATTCCTTTTTCCAATAAGGAATTCATAACTATTTGTGATTGCATTAATTGTTTATGGTGATTAAGCTCATGTTCAAATTATCATCAGTATATTAATTAGAATGGGAAAAAACATTGATTGCATATAATCTGTATAATTTACCTTAATGGTTCAGGATATATGGTAAGATATGATAAATTCAATTATGACACCTCTACAACACTATTTTGTGAGATGCACATAATTTATCATGCTCATTAAAATGAAGCTAATAAAGAAGTTTAAGGAAAAGTTTCTGGAGAATACCTGGAGCAATATAGCCATTGTGCCAGCCATTACGTTCTATTGGATGAGTCAAAATTAGAAGTCGAGCCAAACCAAAGTCAGCAACGATGTCTCTAATTCTGGGTCAGTAAAATGTTGTTACTAGATATATCACGGTGAACAATCGGTGGAGTGCAGCATGATGTAAGTGTGACAACGCATGCGCCACACTCTTGATAATGTTCACTCTCTTCTTCCAGTCCAACTCAATAGCTTCTCATCGTTGCGCAACACACAGAATAAACTTCCCCTCTCCATATACTCAAAATCAGAAACATGCATCTTCTATGCAAACAAAAACCATAAAGTTTCACAATGTTTCGATGTCGAATTTGAGATAGTAAATGAGAATCATTTGGAAATATTGAAGAAAGCAACTCTAATCGTGAAGCTTCTTCACAGCAACCACTTTGCCACCAGGTAACTTGCTTTGAAACGCTGCCATAACCTCGTCCCAATGCAATACTGATGTCAAAGTCTCAGTTGCTTTAATTATCTCCTCAAACACAATTATACCATCGTAATCCCATATTTTGAACACATCTCCACTCCTGGTTGCTCTTGTCGAGAGTTCAGCATTTTTATTCTTAAGTTGCTAAATTTGAAAACATGTGTTGAAGGTTGATGCTGTGCTGGAAGTGGTTGCCGAATGAATGTGAAACCTGGAAGAGTTTTTGCTTGCATGGACTGCATGGGAGTGCTTCTCCTTTTAGTAACTTTAGATGTATGTTAGTTTAATGTTAATCCTTTGTTTAATGGCTCAGCTTTTGTAATGAAGTAGTAGCCTTTTAGTGGCTTAGCTGAGATTAAGGAAAAGGGTCTGCTGGTTGTTGAAACAGTAATTGAAGTATGTTATATGCAGTTTTTGTCTAATGAAAAAGTGTGTCCAGTTTTTAGTTTTCATCTCTCTTCTTCTTTGAATAACCAGCATCACTAAAACGAAATGGTATCAGAGTCTATCAATCAACTAACGTCTAAAAGATCACTCAAAAACTCATCCCAAATCACCATCAAACTTCACTTACGCAAGAAAAACCAAAGCCTTTCAAAACTGCAACCAGTTCACGCATGGCTTCCC